TTCTTTTTTGTGCATTGTACCGTCAAATCAGATCTGACTAGTACAGGAGGAGATTCTCCCTCCAGCAGAGCATCTGGTGGATTCGAACCAGGCACATCTGGGATTGCAGTGCAACTTCTTGCCACTAGGCCACCAGAGCTCCCTGAATTTTTCTTTTACTTTTCAAAGAGAAGAGCTAACTGAGGGGGAGATTGGACAGGGAGAAAAGTTCAACAGTGAATGAATGGAAATTCAAAGTCTCTGTAAACTTTCAATAAAATTAATAAAAAAAAGTCTGCTGGAAATAGTCTATTTGATTTCGACTTCTTTTCCCTGTCACAAGATACAATTTGGTAATTTAGTCTGAGTATATGATGGTCTGGTGGTTTAGTGGGACGGAGTAGTGCTGCCAGCCCAAAAGCATAGTTTAAGTCCACCAGCTGCTCCATGGGAGAAAAATTGATTGTCTCCTCTCTTGTGACTTACTGCCTCTGGAAACCCCGCTGGAGGGTCAGCTCTGGGTCAGTTCCAACTCCACAGGACATAAAAACAACTTATTTGTGCAAACACTAGGCCAGGCTGAAAATCACATGCCACAGTAGAACTTTAGAATTCTAAATAGCATCATTCCATCTGACAGAAGCCACCTTAAAGCTTATTAAGCTCCAGCTGGGATATGCTTGCTTCTCAGTTTTTTGCTGTCAAGATGTTTATGGAAAAAAAGCTTGAATTTACTGCCAGGCATCTACCTGTGCCCTTGAGTGAGCCACAGGCTCACCTCCATAGAACATTGGCCGAAAAGTGCATGCACCGAGACTACATGAAGAGGAAAAAATAAGGTCATTTTCAAGACTGGTAATAGTCATGTCTTTGTAACGTAGAGAACACATTGAATTGGCCACACAGGAATTGATAAACACAGTGGCTTTGATGCCCTTCGATAAGGAGGCCATGGAAAGACACAGGTCCCCTCCTTTGGAGAAACCAAGAAGCCTAATATTAGGACCTTTCACCTGATGAAGAGAGAACATGTTAGTATTTATAAATTGAGGAAATAAACAATTTTACTTTTTTTTTTTTTAAAGCTTATTCATCAGTTTTAGTTGGTGCAGAAAATGTATATTCACTGAGTGAATTGAGTATATATTAGGATGAAATACCTAGAAACACTTAAATATTGTTGTTTTTGGTTTGAATCTTTTGTGGATACAGCTGTTGAGTAAATTGTATATGTTTTCGTTTGCTCAGAAGCTACTTTCTCAGTTCCTATTCCAAGCAATGAGAAGCTCACTTCTGCCAAGGGTTTCCCATCGGTGCTCGTGTTGTGATCTCATTACTCAGAGACTGAATGGTGCAGAAACACACTGTGTTGAACTGGAGCTGGTGTAACTTTGTTTTATTGGTTCTGTTTGAATGGTAGCACATTCTCTAAAAGAAATTCCTCTGGGTGTCCTTTTCATCCATCCCACCAATAATATTTTAAAAGAAGATTGTTAGGGACTCCCCTCTTGGAAGTATAACCAGTTAGATAGTTTTATATGTGAACATACTTTATGAAATTACTGTTAACACCACCAGGAACTGGTTTTTGTCTGTTTAGGTGCTGGGGAAAAGTTTTCCATTTGGGAACCAACCAAACGGGAGCTTGAACTGCTGAAGCACAACCCAAAGAGGAGAAAGATCACATCCAACTGTACTATTGGTAGGTGGAGAATTTGTTCTCCATGTGTCTTCTCATTATTCTGTAGTAATTAAAAAAAGCCCACTGCCTTTGAGTTAAAACCAACTTACAGCTGACCCTCCAGCTTTTCAGAGGCTGTGAATCATACGGATGTGGATGTCCCATCTTTTCCTGAGGAGTTACCTAATTGTAGATTCAAAGTAGCAGGGAGATACCATCTTTGGGTTAGCAGTTATAAGTCCTTATGTACTATGCCATCAGAGTGATGCTTAAAATGTGCAAATGTAGATCTTACTTGGAGGTTTTGCTTTAATTAGATTCTGCCTTATCCTTTCATTGGAACATTTGCTCCTGCAAATGGATGAGATGGGATACAGTGTGACATGAAAAGACATAGCCCTAACTTTGGGGCCTGATGGGATGACAGGGCCCAGCTGACTGTGTCTTGGCTGAAGCTGAGTACAGTATTGTAGGAGTATCAAGTAATTGTTGAGTTTCCTAAGAAATGTACAAGTGGATTGTAGAAAAGAACATAAAAGGTTTTGTTTGGAGGTTTGTTGTGTGTTTTATTTTTAACAAAAGTTTGAGAGTGAGACTCCATTGTCACGTGACTCTTACTATAGGAAAAAAAATATCTTCATTAATTTTGTCCAGAACATAGGATGGCTGAAGTAAGGTAGGCATGATAATAACGGACATTCCTTAGTACAATGAATGTAAAAGAGGCAGAAATAGTAGATAGAATACATTTCCTTCTTGTCTGTTGATGGTTGTAAAAGCAGCAACAGAACATGGACTTAATAGCATGGCAAGTGAAGCAATGCTGGTGTGAGTGTTGTCGTGACTCCTTGCCTGGGTAACCATGCTCTCCCCTTCTTGTTCCTTCCTAGGCCTGCGGGGGCTGATCAACCTTGGGAACACGTGCTTCATGAACTGTATCGTCCAGGCACTCACCCACACGCCGCTCCTGCGAGACTTCTTCCTCTCTGACCGGCACAAGTGTGAGATGCAGAGCCCTAGTTCCTGTCTGGTCTGCGAGATGTCTTCACTCTTCCAAGAGGTGCAGTTGTGGGCATCCTGAAAGAGGCTGGCTGTTCTAGGACTTTTTTTTTAAAGCTTTGCCCTTTTAAATAATAAGGTAGATTATATAATAAAGGATGGCGGTGATCATTGGCTGAGTTGGTAGAATTCTCACCTTCCATCCTTCCATGTGAGCTCAGTCTTTACCAGTGCACATCAGGCAGATCCACTATCTGTCTGTCATTTGAGGCTTGCTTGTTTCTGTGATGTTGAACACATTTCCTGTCAAGCTTCCACACTGAGATGGATTAGCGAGAAAGGTCTAGCAGTCTGCTGAAAATCAGCCATGAAAGCCCTGTGTATCTCAGGGATGTAACCTCATTGTGTAAGGGGTTGCCAGGAGTTGGAGTCGACTTGATGGGCTCACAACATCTGTGGTGTTAGAGAAAAGCACTCAATGGATATTCCATGGATGGCCAAAAGAATAAACAAATTGTCTTGTAGAAAGTGTAGGCAGAGTGATTTTTGGAGGCAAAGATGATTAAGCTTCACCTTACATACTTTGGACATGTTCCTAGGAGGGGCTGTTCCTTGGAGAAAGACATGATGCTCAGAGAAGTACTGGCAAGGAAGTGGAAGACTGTCAACCAGTTGGATAGACAGTGACTACAGCAATTGGTTTTTGTGTGTCAGAAAGTGTGAGGATGGCACACAATAGGACAGGATTCAGATCTGTTCATAGTGTCACTGTGGATCATACACGACTTGATGGCAGCTAGCAACACTAAGTGTAACAGTAAAGGGAGGCTAATTCTTGAGTACATATTTAGTGTGGATGACATGTTTTTCATAAGGAATTGCTAGAATTTTTACAGTTTGGAATTTATTTTTAGAGGTACAGCAATGAGTAAGAGATGGATACGGAGTCCTTTGCATCTAGAAGAGTCATGGTGCATAGTACTTTGTCTAGATCCTGTGCCGTTTCCCCTTGTCCTCTGCTGTCTTTTATCTTGTGTACCCTGCTCAGATTATTAGATTCTATCCCCTGATGATGCAATTCCAAAGGCACATAGTTCAAAGTCCACCAGCTGCTCTGTGAAAAAAGGCTGCACAGTCTGCTCCCGTGTGATTTACTGCCTCTCAAAACTGGAGGGTCGGTTTTAGCTTGATGGCAGACAACAAACAACAGCATCCCCATATGGAACCATTAATTTTGTAGTTTAACCCTGCCTTTCAATGTTCATACTGCCTTATCTACATGACAGTGTGGCAGAGATGCAGGCTGCGGTCAGACACACTCCAGCTGGACCATCAGGTAAGGTTCTTCCCTACTAAAAACTGATGTGTGGCTGCACCTTACACAGCTTCCTTTTGTCCTCCACTTCCTGCTTTCTCAACCCCAGGATGGTCCTTATATGAAACAAGTGTATTATGTGGGCATTGACGTGCCCATGTTCATGATCTTGCCTCCTCTTGGCATCATTCACCAGGAGAATAGACTAACAATGAGATGCAGGTCACAGGATGGGATGGAACCTAAAGACAGAATGAGCCCTGCCAGGGCTGGGGACCCTCTAGATGCATATCAGGATACGTGCACGCAGGCGTGCATACACACCTTCTCTCACTTCCACCCTTCTCCATCTCCTCCCCTCGCCCTCGCTGCCTCCCTGTCCTTCCTTTCCTGTGAAGGCAGATCTCATAGCAGCAGCCCTACAAGGTGGAATAGAACTGCCCCTTAAGTTGTCCAAGACTCTAAACCGTTACAGAAGAAACTTGCTTCATCTTCTCACATGCAGCAGCTGGTGGATTTGAACCAATGATCTCTTGATTTAGCAGCCTAACACTAAATTCAGCCTAGTCTGTTTCATTGACTAAAGTGTTTTTTTGGAATGCAGCCACACTCTCAGTTTACATACTGGTTAGTGGTTGCATCAGTGCTACAGTAGCAAAGTTGAATAATAATTGTTGAGTGTTTGGGAAGTAGTCCTTCTTTAGGGCCTGTGGAGGCCAGAATATTTGTGCACTCCTCTTTGGAATGTGTCTGCTGAAGCTGAAGTTAACTGAACCTGAAGGTAGCCATCTCATGCTCTAAGTTAAGTACTCATGACAGACAGTTGCTGGTGTGCAACAGTGAGCATCTACGAATGAGAGGCTGTCAGACCAGAGAGGTAGAGGGTGGTGGATGTGGGGAGAAACAAATGTGAGTTGTGTCACCTAAATTTGTGGATTTTTATTGACTATAACTGAGGTAACATTGATAATTGATCTCTACTAAATTACTTTTAAATTCGTATTTGTTACAGTGTAATTTATGTACAGTGTAATTAATCCTTTTGTATTCAGTTTTGACAAATATTATGTCACTATCACCATAGTTCAGCTGTAGAACAGTTCTGTAACCCCCAAATCTCTCACACCTTTCTAAGCCAACCTTCTCTCAGTTCAGCCTTGTTATCCACACATCTGTCTTCTGTCTCCACAGTTTCCATTTGAAGATACCACATTGAGTGTAGTTACAGTATAGTTCATCCTTGTTGCCTGTCTCAGTAATTCCTGCCCTCTGTGCTCCATTGGGTGGAGGTACTATGGCTTAAGTTATCCATCCCAAATTGGGAGAAAGACACTTCATTTTTTCTAGACCTCAGCAATAATGAATACAAACACTGTAAACATTCATGTTCTGTTTATGTGAACAAAAATGTCTTACGTATCTCCTTTGATTTAAATTTTGTGGGTTTTGGTATGCAGAACTTGCACATATTTTTGATTATTTGTTCCTAAGCATATCATGTATTTAAGGCTTTTGTAAATTGTACTATTTTGAAAACTATTTGTTTCTGCTTGCCATTGCTAATCTCTCTGGTGGCACGATCCACAAGGAGTGGTGATGCTAACCCAAAAATAGCCCTTCTCTGGCAGTTCAAAGGTTGCAGCCTCTAAGAAACCCACTGGAAGCTCACCTATGAATTGACTTGAGCCAACAGCAATGAATTTGAGGATTTTTAAAATTTTTGTATTATCTAGAAATACTTTTTTGTTCCCCTGTGCTTTTAGCCTCTTCTTCCATGTACTCTGAAAGATTAACAGTCACTGATTTCTTTTTCTCTTATCTCTCTGCTGAACCCAGTGGCCACAGAGTTAATTCTGATTCATGATGACCCTTAAGTCGAGTTTCTGAGGCTATACATTTTTAAGAGGGAGAAACTTCTCATCTTCTCCAGTGAAGTGGCTATTAGACTCAAAGCATCGGCCCTTGGGCCACCAGGTTAGCTATGACACTGGGGCTCCTTCATTTATCAAGAACAGCAGCGACAGAAAGCTCTTGTCCTGGAGTTGACTCTGACTCATGGTTCTTGAGGCTTGTGTCTTTCTTGGAGAAGACTGCCCGTCTTTCTTTCAAGAAGTGGCTGCAGGCAGCAGTAGCCTTCAGTTTTTCCGTCTTAAGAGAAGCATATGAGTGTGTCTTTTCCTTACAGCTGTCTTCCCTCCCCCTCACCTTTTCTCACCTCAGTACTAATAAGTGTGAGTCTTAAGCCCACTTAGAAATTTGATTTTTCTTCCTTCCTTGTCCCCTCATTTCTGCTTCTTTGTAAACAACTGCTATGTACAAGGAAGTGGATGAATATTACAAGTAAGTTTAAATCCTTTTGGCACTTGAAATAAAGCTAATTTCTTTAATATTTAATTAATTTTAATTAATAGCAATTAATAGTATCTTTGTAATAATTTCATTTTGTTTCTATAATTATTTTTGGAAGCTGTAATTTAGATTTATAAATCTGATCTTAGGTAAGATACACAGAGGTAAGATACATGGTACATCTGTCCTAAGTAAATCATGTAAATATTACTGTTGTTGTTGTTGTTATGTGCCGTCGAGTCATTTGCAACTCATAGCGACCCTATGTACAACAGCCCTAA